TGTGTAAAATTCTACCTAAAATTACTATTGCATTGTGCACGTAGGCGACCAATCATGAGCATTGAACCGATTGCTGAATACGATTGTGTGAACCGCGCATCGCCATTTTGCACAGTCCTCATTTCGATTGCAATACACGATCGGCCTTTGTGCGGTGGATTTTTTGTTCCTCTAAGTAGCAACGATCACTGGTGTCGTTTTTTATAGCAATGCAAACAGGGAATCTTTTGCTGTACAAATAAAGGTTGATCTGCAACTCCATCAGCCTTCTGCAATCGCTAACCGGGCTCCCGAGAAAGGAGAGATGCCGGCGTTGCACCAATAGTAAAAATGGTGTGGAGTAAAAGTCAACAAAGTGTTTGTACTTCAGTAGTCACAAACATATTCGAAAAATCACACCTGAGATGCTGACAAAAAGCGGCCCAAATGCGATATACACTTTGTCAACCGCGATTCGAGATCAAACAGAAACTCAGTAATCTGCCTTGTGTGTTAGTTTCAATTGTCGCTGGACAATAAATGCAAGTATTCTCGGACCTGTTTTCTGGACTGCAGCAACGCATACGGCTGCGCAGATAGTGAATTTATATTGGATTATATACTCAGTGCCGCAGTAAATCCCTATTATCCATTTCGGGGCATCGTTTGGACTGTGTTACTCAGCTTATCTGACTTAGACGCAGAGGCGCCTCGCAGTTAATAGTAAACACCGGTATTCTTCAGGAAACTATTCTGTCATGATTGCAGGTTCCCACTACTCGGCTCAATACCAGTCTCTGAGAACGCGACCCAAGTGAAGTATGAAGGTGATATTGTTCAGTAAATAAAAAAGACTGCAACTTCAAAAAGATAGCAAGTTATTATCAACGAACACACGTTCGGATTACAGCTTAAGGCATCAAAGTGAAATGTTGTCTTATTTCCGCTACACAGTGATCATCATCAACAGATCCTCAAGCAGTGCCCGGAACCCTACATCATCATTCAATACCCTACCAAGTGTCTTGGTCACATCATGTAAACGAAACTTTCGCATAAGTCAGAAAACTATAGTTGCACGCTGCACACCTGCCAGATGCCTCATTTCTTCATCAGTTGGTACTTCGCTGTGTGCTGTCTGTATTCTTCCACACTGAACGCACTGCTCTACATTAGTTTTCTGGGTTTACTAGGTAAGCATTTCAGATTATTTATTCTCCAGGTCGTTAAAACATCTGTCGCGATGCGTTAATACTGATATTTCTTGATGTACTAGTCCACAATCATGCTGGTTCTTACAAAATGCTATGGTAAACGGTACTTATCGGCACAAATCACTCCCTTCACTGTGCACTACGGGCAAGTGTGTAAACTCGTCCACGGGAGAGAAGCACAAGTACATATTTGCACGAACGCGAGCCTAGCGCTCGTCAGTTATCCCTTAACAAGTATGATATATTTGCTACACAATAATGAAGTCGTTGGGAAATTAATCAACCCTATTACGTTAGGACGGCTCTGTTGTTCCGTTTATATCATGCTAAAATGCTGAAAGCGCGCGTGTGTGACTGAGTATTCACCCGTGTTGGGCATGTAAAGCCTTTTCTTTATTTAATCTAGCTGGATAAACAGAACTCATACGAAGGAAAAAAAAATATCTGATGGGAACCATGTGGCACCGATATTGTTCTCGTGCAGGGAATTATTAGCCCACTGCTTTCGTTTCTATAGAAATGCGCAACGTAACCATTTGTACTTTGAAAATAAAGTGATGTACACAAATTAATCGATTCGTAAAATTGAACGTGGCGTGAGAACACCATTTGTCGATTTGAACTGTTATCTAGTCGGCTGCACTCAATTCTTAATTATTGACTCAGGCATAAATGCAGATTTCGCCAACGGTACTGATTTTTGTGGGAGCCGCAGCGAAATCCTGCCTGAGTTGACAACATTGGTGTTCCGATGGCTAACGTGCGTGCAAACGTTAACCTGCATTCCAGGTTAACAGAGACCCGCGTTCATTCTAAAGACCTATTCGCATTTTATTTTAGCCATTCGAAATAACTGGGGTGTGCAAGCCCATTCGACCACTAGGGTTCTTATAATACGTAAGTAAACGGGATTCAATTCGTATGATAAAAGATGCGATTGTGCCAAAATATGTTATTGTGAAATTAATTTTGCTTAAATGCCAGTAGAATTAGTCTTATGGAATGCTAACCGCGCTTTAACGTAGGAAGGATTTGAATTTCATCAAACCAGCTACATGCGGATTCCAATTATAACTCTCTCTTGAATGGATGTAGTGAAAATATGACTGGCATCGCAATGAAGTGCCCTAGTAACAAATGCTGCTCAATTAATAATCGCAAATTCTCACTTTCTGAGGAAAACGGTGCCTTGAGATCACTGAGCATTTACTAAGGACTTTAGGCCAAAAAAATTAGTACGGTGAGCAACCAGGATGAAACTGCGGAGAGAAGGGATGAAAAAGCTTATCAACATAGCCGCGTTAGAAGGTTCTATGGGTTAATGAGAGTTAAGCAATCTAACGAAAGGGAAAAATTATCGGTGTTTGTAAATGAAAACAGGTTTAAATTGGCTTCACTTGCTCTGCTCTTGTTGATGCTTTACATGAATTACTAGTGAAACTGTGGGAGCAGGAGACTGTCCCAACCGACTGGAGCCGCTCCGTTATTATCCCCATCTTCAAAGGAGGCTCGCGATCGGAATGCGGCAGCCATAGAGGAATCAGTCTGATCTCCATCGCCTCCAAATTACTCGCCTCCATAATTCTTCACAGACTAACTGGCGCTTGTGAAAGCCAGATTCGTGAGAAGCAAGCCGGGTTTCATCGGGGTCGTGGCTGCATCGACCACATCTTCACCTTGCGTCAGTTGTTGGAGCACCGTCACACATATTGGCGGTCCACCATTGTCGTGTTCCTCGATATCAAAAGTGCCTTCGATTCGGTTGATCGATGTGCCCTATGGAATTGTCTACTCGAGAAAGCTGTGTCCGAGAAATAAGTAGATATTATCCAAGCATTATACGCGCGTAGCACGGGCAGAGTGAGGGCTTACGGCAAGCTGTCGCCACCCTTTAATATCTCCAGCGCTGTGAGACAAGGATGCCCGCTGTCACCTATCCTCTTCAACTTCGCAATTGACTAACTCATGGAGATTGCATTTACAGGACATGACTTGGAAGGTGTGGAGCTACTCCCAGGAGAACGACTTATTGACTTGGAGTATGCAGACGACATTGCTCTCATCTGTGACAGCTCCCAGACGTGCCAAGCCGCGCTGGACAGACTAGCACTGGCTGTCAGTAGCTTCCGGCCTTGCTTTGTACCATGGAAATGCAAAGCGTTCCTCCAAAATTGGCAGGGATCGCTTCCTGCGCTGACTCTTGGTGGAGATCAGCTAGAAGTCGTTCAAAAATTCAACTACCTGGGAAGTTGTATCAGTGCCCTTGGGATCGAAGACGAGATCACGAACCGTATAGCGAAAGCTCGAAGTGCTTTTGCTAACCTTTGCCACTTATGGCGGCGGCGCGACATTACTCTCGCCCTGAAGATGTGAGTGTACAATGCAGCGGTACGTTCGATCCAACTTTATGGTTGCGAAAAGTGGCCCCTACGATCAGCAAACATGAAGAGGCTAGTTATGTTCGACCATCGGTGCCTTCGCAGTTTGGTGGGAACACCGCGTGAGTAACGAGCATGTTCGACGCCTTGTTTACGGATCAGAAAAAGGAACTGAACCGCTCAGCACCGTCATTTCACGCACCAGGCTCCGATGGCTGGGCCACGTGTTGCGCATGCCAGCCGACCGACTTTCGCGACGTGCGTTGTTTGCTCACCGGGGATGTGGATGGAAAAAAGGAGAGTCGGTCAAGTGATGACTTGGTCCAAAGGAATGAAGGCCCTCACTTCGGAGCTGGCCTCGGTTGGAGCGTCACGGCTCCCTGGTTAGGCACCAAAAGATGGTGGACATGTTGGGCTGGATACACTTGCTGACATGGCAAAAAGCCGACCTCAGTGGCGTTCGTGCTGTGACTTTCTTTGTCCCTCCCCATCCTTTTTAGCCTCCCCCTCCATTTAGGATCTCATTTCATAGTGTAAAACATAATAATATTTATTTGTGCCTAGTAGCCTACTGGTAGTTTACCGGAACGATGCCTATCCGTTGCTGGTAGCTCAGCTGGCATGCAACTATTGTACTTATTTTCCTTTTCCTTCATGTACTGTGGCACAGTAGCTGAGGTGTTTCCCACCTCTAGCTGACGAGTATAATGATGATGATGGTGAATGTTAATGTCACTGTACAGGTGTGCGAGTTTATCAACGCTATGTGGATATCGAGTTAGTGAATGATTATGAGGAAGAAATGAGAGTGGACCTTAAGATGAGGGCATCCTAAAGCTTCCTCACAACCTCCATAAGCATGGGTACCTTGAATGCAAAAGATGCCCGCACACTTAAGAATGTCAAAAGGATCTACGTCTGCCAACGTGAAGTGACTAAACATAGTGACTAACAACGTTCACCCATGCTACAGAGAGTATTTTAAATTTTCCGTAAAGTATCATTGAATGAGACAAAACAAAGCCAGCTGTTTCAAAACACAGTGATGACATGTTTAATCCTTTACGTAACTCAACAGTAGTCTCGGTCCAGAAAGTAACAAAACAATATACACCCATAGTGAATGGGTCAGTTTGAAACACTCGTGTAAATGAATTTCCACGCATAATTTCAATGTGAGGCGCGATTTACATTAAAACAAACCTTAAGAAGGTCGACTAAATTGTCTAGTTCGCTGCTACTGTGTCTAAGAGTTTGTTCGCAGCTGAGTAAATAAGTATGCTGCAGTCACGTTGGCTAGGCTAAACGTAGAGAAGCTGGATGAGCCTGGCTTAGTGTTGTCGAGCGGATGTAATTGTGAATCAAGGGTAAATAATTTGGGCCAACCAGCCGGTTTTATCGAAACTAATGTCCGACAGTGAATGAATAAAGCAGGTTGCTTGGGTTATGCAGAAAGTTCAACATGTAAGAGATACATTTAGTTATGTACAGGAGAGTCGAATGAGCCACATAAGTGAAACGCGAAAAAGCTGTTTAGTCAACCAATTGTCCTTTAATCTTCAGCTTCTTCAATACGCGGACCTGTTCAAGTGCGGCAGCTCGACGAAGCCGTTTCACACTGCCATCATGAGAACCATCAACAGAACTGGACCCCGACGTTGTCCGAGGTGTAGTCGTGTAGAAGGTAGCGGAACCCGGTTGAACAGAAGGTGATCGGCCCAAGGAATCTGATGAATGACTCCCACTTGGTGAGAGTCCTCTCAAGCTCTCCGCCCTTGTGACATGCCTTGTTTCTATGGTCCCCTCTGCCGTTTGTGAAGGACATAGTCCAGAGCTACCTGCTGCAGCAGCCAGGGCACCAGCCACTCCGAGAGAATGCCTTGATACAACTGGTCGTTTTGAATCTGAGTCTCGCAAAGCATTCAAAATCATCGGGTCAATTTGAGAAAAAACTGAAGAGGACATGGAACCAGTGGATTGTTCTGTGGAGTTGCTTGAGGATGCGGAAGAAGTGACATTCGCAAGTCCAGTCGGAAGGGGCTAACGGGAATAAGAGAAAATACCAATCCGGAAGACTTGACCCATATAAATGATAAAGCACCACAGCCTTAAAATCGATATTGCATATAGATGCCTGGTTAAATCAGCGTCAAGATATACAGACATAGCGCAAATAAGAACGGAACTCGGGGAGCTGTGTTGGAAAAGTTGAGGATCTTGTCTTCAAAAGTAGAGGTGACAAACAACAGGAGAGGTGTACAAAAAGAAACCGAACTTCCGAAATAGCGCGGCAACCGGCAGAAGGAGCACACTGCGGCTACCAAGCGAATGTGGTGGCCTGCTTAAACAACTGCCATTTGCCGCATTTCGCTCTGACTGATGGTTGGAGAGTCACAATAGCTGAAGTGAGCACGTGCGCAAGCTGTTTGTCGGACTTGTGTTAAAGAGATAATGAAAAAGCTTTAAGAACAACGCGAGTGTGTGAAATTTTGCTACAAACTTGGCAAAACTTATACAAAGACATTTCGATTGCTTAGCCACGCCTACGGCGAGGACTGTGTGAGTCGCACGCAGTGCTATGAGTGATTTAAGTGTTTTGAACACAAAACCTGAATGACATTCCACATAAACAGACGGTGACCATGTCAAGAGAGTTCGTGCTGTGATCCGTGAAACTCGTCGTGTAACTGTTCGGGAAGTTGCTGGGGAACTGAGCATTAGCCTAAGATGATGCCTTATTATTCTAGCACATTTGAGGATAACTGTGCGCAAGAAGAGGTCTGAACTGTGGGAAAACCAGACTTGGATGTTGCATCATGACAATGCGCCGACTCACGCATCGCACCTTGTCCACAGCTAGCTAGCAAATCACATGCCAGCTGTGTCCCATCTATCGTATTCTCCGGATTTAGCTGCTGCAGACTATTGCGTTTCTAAAACTTAAAGTTACGTTGAAAAAACGTCGTTCCCAAACCACAGAGCAGATAGTAAAAACTGCGAAAAGAGACCTGTGCGCCATCTCAGAAAGTGCATTCCAAAAATGGGAGCACCGTTAAGAACGATGTACTTCCAGTAGAGGGCACTACATTGAGGAGGAAAGTAGTGAAAATGTTGTGCAATAAAGATGCTAACAGCAAAAGCATAGTTTATTTCCGAACGCCCCTCGTATTACCTCCTGCATGTGATGTGGGTCCATACTTACTTGGCTTGGTGCGAAAGTCTCCAATTTTAACCGAGCAGTCTGCAGTTCATAGTCGCAATGCAGCTGAGCCATACGCAGATCGTAGAGTAATAAAATCTTCGACCGCAGACTATTGTATGCTTCGACAATTTCAGCTGTAGCCGGTGGTGTTGGATCTCGAAGGGGGTGGGGACAAATTTGATATGTCGTTTAGGCAGAAAACAATATAAAATAATGACGGTAAAGCGTATGATCAAATTAAAAGTATAGAAAAGTGAAGATGAGTAAAACATACAGCTGCCAAGCAAGAATAGACACATAAGGAAAACTTGTATCAGGTTGTCAATGATCGCTCCGAATATCCGCGCGGCCGGACTAATTCCAATGGGCAGATATTTGTGCTGGAATATAGCTGTATCCCAACTTATCGTAGTGCGTTAGCAGGAAGTCCCGCTTAACTCTGTAAATCGAGGTGACTCAGATGGATCTGTGTGAACTTTTGCCCGCCTCCTAGCGTGGCATACAGATCTTATGTCCGAGAGAAGGGATAGTTATCCAGAATTAAACAACGATTAACAGTCAGTGTATAGTCAGTAGATAAAAGCCATCTGATTTCAGGACGGGAGCAATCAGTGCTCCTTTTCATTGTGATGGACTGACTCGATTGTTCCTGCTGATTGAAATCTCTTTATTTCGACTTTTACTATGGACAATGGAACAATGTCGGCCGGTGGCCGAGTGGTCTACACTTCTGGTTTGCAACCATAAGGTCGCCGGTCCGAATACATGTAGAGGGCATGTTTGCAGCATTATCAACGCATGTGCGACTGGTGGTGGTCGCGCGGCAGCGAAACGTCGATACACTGTACAGCTGACGGTTTACTCTCATTCAAATCAGGAAACAATGGAAAATGGTGTACTACAGGTAAAAAAAGCAAATGTTTAACAAGTTCCGCAGGATGACAAGGAGGATTACAAAAATAGTGGAAAGAAAACATGATTAAATGAAAGCGTTATGGCGGATTAACCATCGTGTATAAGAGAGCCTGTTACCATTATGCATGATACTGCTTATTGGTGCATGGTTTTCACATTATATCGTATATCGATATACATAGGCTTTATTTCGTAATGTACGTAGGTTAGGTCAACGTGAAGGCGTTTATTAGACACGAATTAAGTGGGAGCAGAAACAACATTGTTTGTGATGGAGTCCCAAGTATGACACGTACAAAGGAAGTAAACGTTCTGGCGAAATTTTAGCCGATTGTATCGCGTGGGGAACTTGAACCGGTGGCACCTCAGTTTCTTGTTGTTGGTAAAGTGGAGTACGTGGCGGTGGATATGGTTATGGTTCTTTAAAATCTAGTGGGCCAAAATAAGGTCGCTACGTAGGCGCCGATACTGACCGCTGTACTATCTCGAGGTCATCAGCCTGTTGATATGGAAAATGAAACAACCCTTCGACGTGCTCGGTGGCTCTTCAATGTGGAGACTCGGACACTACGAGATGTTTCTTGTGCCAGGTTTATCACTCCTGAATTGTGTATTCCATATGAGGCCGCAGGTATGAGTTAAGCAAATGCGGATAGATCAAACCGCCCAAATGCCTCCGCAAGATAACATGTGGGTTCCCAGTCTCTGATGGTTTCTCGGACATTCTAATATCATCAGCGAAAAACAAAGAATGCAAGGCAGTCAAACGCATAAGCTCTTTAGTGAGTATGAGAAACAGACACAGTTCCAGAAATGATCGCTGTGGATTTCCAAATTCGACCTGAATAGGATCGGACAGAATATTTCGAACCCTGATCTGCAGCTGCCGATTCTGCAGGAAATTCCTGATCTATCCACGGATATGGTCCCCAAATTCATAGCTTTCAGGACTGTGAAGCAGAATGCGATGGTCCAAGCGGTCGAAGGCTTTGGAGAAGTCGAAGTAAATGACGCAGGTTCATGTCTTTTTGCCGGGCTCTTCTACGCAAGTGTTGTGTGAAATCAGTATCTTATATGTGCATGATCGTTGCAAGCGCAAACCGTGCTGCGCCAGCGCCACGATGTTCCAACGTTCTAGATGGTCGACTCATCATCGTCATCAATACAGGTTAGCTGAGAGTGAGAAGCACATCTTAGCTAACGTGCCGCAGCAAATACTGAAGCAAGAAGGAGGAGGCCCAAGGATTTGGGGTTGCAAACAGGGAGGTGATAAAAGTGAAGCTGGAGCAGAACGATGAGGATGATCAGTAGCATCCAAAGCCCAATTCACCCTGCTCGATACTGCAGACAGGTCGACGCTAATAATACACTGCGACGATCAGAGCATCAAGGAATTGTTTAGGACAGTGGTTCTCAAGCGTTTTGGGGTTGTTACCCACAAAGCGGGTTAACTATAAACAAGTGCTCCATAAATCTGTACCTTAAAAATAAGCAAATATAACAAGTTTTGCTTTAAGTTATTGAAGATGAATGCTATTTTAATAACTCTATTGCTTAGGTAAAGGATAGTTTTTGAGCAATTTTTATTTAATCAGGGGGTGATGTGCGTTCATGAAACAGTTGATATTCCTCAACTTCAACAATTTCTGGCATATTTGATGGGCTTCAGGCTAATGCATCGTAAGTTGTGCTCAAAGTTCATTCGGTTCCTTGCTGCGGTTCTCATTGTCACTATTGTCGAAAATCCACTTTCTCTGCTATAAGTTGAGGCAAATGGAATTAGCTTGCTCAATGCTTTTCCCGATAAGAATAGATACTTGTAACCAATCTTTGTTCAAAATATATAGTGTGTTTTGAAAATATATTTTAAGTGTGATGTCTTCGCGAAGTTCCGGGAATTATGCTTTGGCTACAATTTCAGTATCTGGAAATATTCCATCACATACTGAAAAGAGTCTTGGCACCCAATCATTTACTTAGCGATTTTCTAAATCAGAAAACATTTGCTGATAAAATGTACCACCGACGATCGATCAGTGAATGTACATTTATCCAATATACTAGCAGAAAAACATTGTTCTGCCTAGGGACAGAAAAATAAAAACAGAATGCCGAGCCAATCGCTTAGAAAATTAACATACGTATCAAACAGCCCAGAATAGTCAAGAAGACTCATATGAACAAGGAGCAGCACGCAGTGCCTCACATCCAAGAATCGGGACACGATCAGTTCCGGTCCACCGGTCCTAAGGTTGAATAGAAGACAACTCACCGATTTGCAAATGTGCTAAAAAGTTCTCGATAATGCGGATTTTCTTCTGACCCAGATTACCGGGTAGTTTCATCTATATAGCGAAAACAGAGGGGACAGCGTGAGACCAAGAATTTGAGCAGGCAAGTAATCAAAGAAAGGGTTTGAGATAGAGATATGAGTGTCAGAAGTTAGCGATCACGTAAAATTGGGGGCGTCCATGAGGAGACAATCGCTCCGGTAAAAGAAGCATTAAATTTGCGCACTTACCCTATGGCTACGCAAATGAACGCCAGGGTTCTTACTCGGATCGGGAAAGTTGATGACGGAGGTTGATGTCTGTAGAGCAGCAGAAAGAGGAGTGGGAATCAGGAATACAACAGGGACGTGGTAAGCGGGGAACAACTTGGGCAAATCAGCACTTTTGGTACAGTCAATGGACTGCTAAGACTGGAAAAACAGAGAAATACTGTGAACATGTTTAGAAAATTATGGAACAAAGCAGTGATCTAGAAAAACGCAAGCGCATACGGCGGTGAGACACGGCACAGTCCTATCGGCGCTTTCAGCTTCCAGTCAAGCGAGTTGCTTTCGCATGTCCTAAACAGTTATAGCTCGCAAACACCGAAAGTTGCAGATTTGACTTAGGGTACGGATTGTTCCATATTCCATGCGCACCATTGTCGCACTTTAGCGTAGATTACGAACTTAAACCTAAATTTCGGATACTCAACGCTACTCTAGCCAAACAGTGCGCATAGTGAAAGTTTGACAATCCGGAGTACCCGGAATTTACATTTCGCAAAGATGGTTTGGTTTTAGTATCGCGTCGTTTGAAGAAATTCTGTATCCCCATTACCATGGTGAACACAACGTTAGCAAATATGTGCGCAGTAAAACCGCTCATGCAAAACGGTTTTATGTGGATAAATATAACGAATGGGTGTTCAAACATAGTTAACAGAACGAAAGGATCCTCAAATGAAAATGTTGACCTTCTAACAACATATTTGAAACCGTTGGGAGACTCTAGCTGGTTCGGGTGGATAGCAAGGTAGTTGCAAACAACACCAAGTACTGTTCAGAGAATAAGAAAAGTGTGCGTCATACTACGACTGAGTGACGATCCAACACTTCGCAGTCAGCAACCGGTCAGTACCACAAGCTGAGACAAATGTGAATCAGTAACGATTTGAGCTAAGCCAAGTTACGCAGTAGCATTTCGTCAGCACATAATGGCATGAATAGACATAGGTGTGCGCATGAAGTACACATAATTCCCTCGCATATTTACACTTCAGTGATGTGCGCAATAGGAGGTAAATGAACTGCGACTGCACGGCTAGGTGGATATATGGCAACAAACACACTCACAATGTTTGAAGCAGATTCGGTTAGGAGTAGCCGCGGCCAGAACTCTGCGAGCTACCTAGTGAAGCATTATGCCAGCGTACATCTCGGAGTCGCACTCATGTGGGACGAGGTTGTGTACTTTGAGGGTAAGACATACGCAGGTAGGTTGCACGAAAGAGGCATCAGCAGTACGCCGGTACGTAGTACCGGTGTTTTGCCGTCGCGCAACGAACGTGGGCTAAGGATATTGCGATGGTCGCCCTGCCCCTAAGGATGCTCGAACCCGCGCTGATAGAAAACAAGACAAGCTCGTTACCTTTAGGCTACGGGCCAGCTAACACCAAGAGAACATTGAGAGTGTAAGGAAGCTAATACATTTGACCCAACTTTTCCATTCAAAAATATGAAGGAGAACTAGGACAGCTAGAATATGGTGCAACAGGAGCGTGAACGTCTGGAAAACGCGTAGGACATGTTGCGCAGCTGTCAACATGGATGACGGAATAAACCAATGAGACAAAAGCCTCGTCGTCTACCTCAAACTATGGATAAAACGATCGACTTCAACAGCCATGTGATACACATTAATGTGCTGGTAGGAACAGGCTGTGTGTGCTGATTCAGATAGACGTACCTTAACGTGTGCGTTCCACATCTAAAATGGGTCGGGCTATATCGCAGTTAGATTCCAATCCGTGATGATCGGGTATCGTCACTCGTGGCTCAAGGGCATAAGCCGCTGGATTGGCAGCTCACCTAGGCGGCCTGTGAGCGAATTGCGATGGGCCAAATAATATCGTCTCCGAATCCGCCTACTTATTAGTAATTTTTAAAATGATCGAAAATGGTGAGGGTATTGCCGGCTGGTTAACGACCCTCAGTAACATTGAATATCCGCTGATAGGCTAATTCCCCTAAAGTGGTCGACTCAACCGTGACATTAGCCTCCAAGACAGGCAAGTTCAACGAAAGTTTAGAGGTTCCACTCATTTAATTACGTTGTGATACACCAACACGTTCACCAAGAACGAGGTGAACACTATTGCAGTTGAGTTGGTGCCACTGTTTAGACAAGACACAAGAAAAAACGTCGGCTGTACGCCGTAACGGCGCTTCGCTGCCATGCGACCACCACCAGTCGCACGAGGGCTGAGTATACCGCGAGGACGCACATCCCTAGGCGGATCCGAACCTGCGGCACGAAATTACATGACAAGCTCGTTAGATCTAAGCTATGGCCGACGCGGACATCATCATCATCATACTACACGTTAGCTGGAGGTGGGGAACACCTCAGCTACTGTGCCGCAATACAAAAAAGGAGAAAGAAATGCAACTGGTGCAAGTCAGCTGAGCTACCGGTAACGGATGGGCATCGTTCCGGTAAGCTACCAGCCGGCTGCTGTGCACCCAAAAAAATTACTATGCAAAATTATATAAGGCTAAATAATGAGATCGTGGTTGGAGGGGGAGGCTAAGAGGGATGGGGTGGGACAAAGAAACTCACAGCACGAACGCCACTGAGGTCGGCTCCTAGCCATATCAGCAAGTGTGTCCAACCAAACGTGTTCATCGTCTTTCGGACCCCAACCAGGGAGCCGAGACGCTCCAACCGAGGCCAGCTCAGAAGTGAGGGCCTTCATTCCTCTCGACCAAGTCATCGCTTGGCCACCCCTCCTCTTCTTCCATCCACACCCCCGGCGCGCAAACAACACACGTCGCGGGAGTCGGTGGGCTGGCATGCGTAACACGTGGCCGAGCCATCGGAGCCTGATGCGTGAAATAACGGTGCTGAGCGGTTCAGTTCCTTTTCCTGTGCCGTAAACGAGGCGTCGAACACGCTCGTTGCTCACGCGGTGTTCCCACCAGATGTGAGCTAAATTACGAAGGCACCGATGGTCGAACGTAACTAGCCTCTTCAGGTCCGCTGCTTTAAGGGGCCAGGTTTCACAACCGTACAGTAGGGTCGAACGTACCGCTGCATTGTACACTCTACCCTTCAGGGCAAGAGTGATGTCGCGCCGGCGCCATAAGTGGCGAAGGTTAGCAAAAGCGCCCCGAGCTTTTGCTATACGATTCGTGATCTCATCTTCAATCCCACGGGCGCTGATACAACTTCCCAGGTAGTTGAATTTTTGAACGACTTCTAGCTGATCCCCACCAAGGGTCAGCGTAGGAGGCGGTCCAGACCAATCTTGGAGGAACGCTTTGCACTTCGATGGTGCGAAGCAAAGCCCGAAGTGACGGACAGCTAGTGCTAATCTGTCCAGTGCCGCTTGGCACGTTTGTGAGCTGTCACAGATTAGGGCAATATCATCAGCATACTCTAAGTCAAGAAGTCGTTCTCCTGGGAGCAGATCCACACCTTCTAAGTCGTGTCCTGTAAACGCGATTTCCATGACTTCGTCAACAGCGAAGTTGAAGAGGAAAGGTGACAGCGGGCATCCTTGTCTCACGCCGCTGGAGATATTAAAGGGCGACGACAACTTGCCGTAAGCCCTCACTCTGCCCGAGCTACGCGCATATAATGCTCGGATAATATTCACATATTTCTCAGGTACACCTTTCCTGAGTAGACAGTCCCAAAGTGCATGTCTATCCACCGAGTCGAATGCACCTTTGATATCGAGGAACACGACAAGGGTGGGCCGCCAATATATGTGACGGTGCTCCAACAACTGACGCAAGGTGAAGATGTGGTCAATGCAGCCACGACCTCGACGAAATCCAGCTTGCTCTTCACGAATCTGGCTTTCACGAGTGCCAGTCAGTCGGTGAAGGATGACAGAGGCAAGCAATTTGGAGGCAATGGAGATCAGACTGATTCCTCTATGGCTGCCGCATTCCGATCGTGAGCCTCCCTTGAAAATTGGGACTATGACGGAGCGGCTCCAATCGGTTGGGACAGTTTCCTGCTCCCACAGTTTGACTAGTAACTCGTGTAAATCATCCACAAGAGCAGGTCCCCCGAATTTGAAGAGGGCTGGAGGAAGGTCATCAGGTCCCGCGGCTTTGTTTAACTTCAACAGTTCGATCTCACGTTCGACTTCTGAGCGAGAGGGTGGATCCAAAGGGACAGCCCAGGGAGCGGGGCGATCAGTGGCCGGCGAGAAATCTAACCATTCCGACCGATTAAATTGCCTTTCAAAGTGCTCAGCCCAACGCTCTAAGCGTTTTGATAAGTTGTGGATAGGCTGTCCACTCTCGTCACGTATAGTTTCACTAACACCAGGTCTCCTGCTGCCCGTTTCCCGTATCAGACGGAATAACTTACGATGGTTATCAAGGGCAGCGGCCATTTCCATCTCTGATGCACGATGAGACCACCAGGATTCGCGGTCTCTCTTCAGGCTAGCACGAAGTTTTGCCCGGAGCACTTTGCGAGTTTCATTGTGTTCGCTTCCAGCCGGAATATGCCGGCGAGCATCTATAAGTTCCAGAGACTGTGAAGAGACCCAATGTCCATGTTGGCGATTAGACATACCACATGAGGATTTTCCTGCTGCTAATAACGTCTGGTGAATATGAGACCAGTGAGCTTCAATTGCATCCAGTGAGCGTTTATCCAACTCGCATGACAGCGTACTTTGATACGCATTCAGAACAGCTGGCTTCGCCAGTTGGCCGGTGTCAATGCGCTCACAGCGTCGTCGTGGGCGTCCGCCAAAGCGCATCCGCAGGTCAGCACACACAAGTGCATGGTCGGTGTCCACACCTGTGCTCCAAATCGAGCGACAGTTCTGGACGCAGCCTCTCCATCGGTAACTTATCGCAATGTGATCGATTTGCGTCCATAGCTGGTTCGAGGCTGGTGGGCGCCAAGTCAACCTCCGGCGGGTGCTGTGTCGGAAATTAGTGCTCGCAAGAAATAAGCGAGCATCCTCACACAAATGAAGTAACCGCTCACCGTTATCATTACGGGAGCCTATACCATGTTGGCCGCCCAGATGCAGCTCATCTGTGGATAATTTTCCAACTTGAGCGTTCAGATCCCCGGCCAGCACTACAGTGTCCGAGCTTCTTCTGTGGCTAAGGAGCTCGTTCAGTTGACGATAGAAGTCGTCTTTTACCGAGTCATCGCTACAGTTTGTCGGTGCATAGGCAGCGATAACGAATAGACACCTGTTAGTCCCACGCGACTTCGAAGTTTTGAACGAGCCAGCCAATCGGACCGCACACATCCGGCTACTGATTGGAATCCAATCAACCAGAGCAGCTTCAGCCCGGGGACTCAGGGCAATACCAACACCGGCTTGGCCGGTGCTCGAAGCTGCATCGTCACCGGATAGGCGCAATGAGAAAACACTGCTTGCGTCACCTGAAGGGGATCGCAGAGTGAGTACAGAGCTCGAGTCTTGCAGGCGGGTCTCCGATAAGCAGCAGATATCGATCGAGAGGGTCTCTAATGTTCGGGCAAGTGCTGCCTGTTGACCGATCTGAAGCAATGTGCGAACATTGAGGCATGCCAATCTGAAGGAGGATCGAGGGCTCCAAATGGAAGCCGATGAACTGGAATGGGCCGCTTGCTTGGACATGGGCCTGTTGACAGTGCAGGAATGACGCTCCGCGTTCATCTGTGAGTTGAAACTAAAAGACAAGCGACTATTGAAGCAAGGTGGGGGAGGGCCGAGAATTGGGGGTTGAAAACAGGGGGGATATAAGTAAAGTTGGAACGGGACGATAAGGGTGAAAAAGCGCGAGAAGGGGAATAAGAAGACGGGAAGGCTTGAGCAGTAGCATCCAAACCCCTATCCACCCTGCCCGATGCAGCAGATAGGGCACCGTTGATTATCCTCTGCGGTGGCCAGAGCATCAAGAAATTGTTTGAGGAAAGATTCATTGTATTGCGTGGGCAGGATACTGTCAGGTTGCCCAGGCCTAGACAGGAGAACGATTAGGGTTCTCAACCAAAGCCTTTGGTTCAAAAACCTGACCGCAAGGCAGCGGGTTTGGCGTTGGGCTACAAGGAGTCCGTTTTAAGGAATAAGGTGCCACCCTCATTCCAACCCCCAACCTGGAGGACCAGGAGGCTGAGTTTGTCTGGCCTCTAACCATTGACCAATCTGGTATGAGTGGCTCTGAAGGTGCAAAAGCACCACCCAGCATAGCTCAACGGATCACTGAGGCACACAAACCATCGCACCACGGTAAGGTCCAGCCTCATTGCGATGGGCCGACGTGGACAAGAGACAGCGAGCTTTGAAGTGGCGAGCAGGTGCAGTTGCATCTTCGATCGGAAGCACCTGAGCGCGAGTAATCGTATTGCAATAGGACTGAAGTTTAACGCGTGCGGTGGGTGCACACCTTGTTGGTCAATTAAAAATAGGGAGTGAACGCTTTGGAATTATCTAAAGTAATCTAATGTTAGCGAACTTTGGAATGTAGCTCAAGGTTGAAGCTGCCTTCAGTGGAATTAGAGATTAGAATATGAGTGGATACTATAGGGAGTGACTGCTCCAACCAATGAAAGTAATAAAGAGTATAGGGACAAGATTTATGGCATACGTGCGTGGTAGAATCCTTGAGTGTCCATAATATATGCACAAAAACAGCCATAAAAATGAGTTAAGTAGGTGATGGCATACCTGCTTTAAAGCCACACCGACACATGGCCAGATTGGGTATGGAAGTGCGATCGAAACGTGTCGAAGGGATACCCCACATGGAAGCAGGTCCTCAGGATACGGATCCATGGGCGCATTATATAACGTAAACATTTGGGTATACCTAAATTTATTTTTATCAGTAATCTCCGGATTTTTCTGAGACTCAATGGACAAATTAGCTCTAAAAGTAGTTTGAGAACAGCTTTAAAAACTAGAAAAATGTGTTCATGAGATCCGACTGTACATAATGATCAGACCATTCGATTAAACTGTGCCTCGCAGCGCCGAGGAAGATACCGCCTAGTTATTTGTTTATTTAAAAGGACAACAGAAAAGAAGTGAGAGTAGGACTGGGTGAACATGCATACTACCGAAATGCGATGGCAAGAGCATATAAAACTGATAGAAAGTAACGCAAAGATAAAACATAATTCAGTTAGATGGCTGACTTCGGCCAGAGACTCACGAGGGCAGAGTTAAGCACATTTGATGTGGTGCCCAAAGCAGCCGCGAGATCGCCTTTACCCCCTCCTCCTGCGCTCGACGTAGGTGCGACAGCACTGCCATCTGTCGTATTGTAAGCGCAAATCGATCCGGTCGAGCCAGATTGAGGAGGGAATGTTCGCTTGCGCTGTGACGTGCCGCTAGTAACGGAACCAGCTCCCGAGGCTTGTTGGACAGCCCCACTTTCCAATGTGGTGTCTGCACCGGTGGAAGTCATCTCAGTTCCATCGTGATCCCGAAGTAAACTATCCGCCTGTTTGAAAGAAGCGTTAGTAAGAAAATCGCGGTGGTAATAGGAGATGTGCATGACAAGAAGATCCGAAATTCCGACAGTTAAGGTAAATGGGGATGTGGCAATGAGGCGGATACGAGTAAAATGAAAAGGGTTAGCGAATTTTGACGGGCTGACTGGGACCGCGGATGGTAAGTGCAAGGCAGTCCCTTAGATGAAGTGCACAAGCACATTGAAGAACACAATAAACACTCGTGCATTAACCACTTTAGTGCTAGATATAGATGGCAAAATGCTCACATTGAATATGGGCAACCGTTGCGCATACGCTGGGCATAGGGACACATGGTCGGACCTTGAATATCTTCGATACACAAAATTCTCTTTGAAATTTCAAATAAGAATATCAGAAAAGGAAAGTTGAGGAATGACAGTCATTTCATGCAAACTCATCAGCCACGTAGGTGCAAACAGGAAAGAAAAAGAAAAGAAAAGAAAGAAAAAGGATTCGCCAAGTCCAACTTTGAAAATATAACAAGTTTAGGCACGGAAGAAACAACGGTAGACATCAAGTCAAAGAAGGCTATTATGAGCAGATGGCAGTGTTCAGGTATTTGGCCCCTATATACACACCCCCCATGAGCATATTGCACGTCAGTAAGAGGCGTAGCGACAGGCTGTGTGTGGAAATCAAGCAAAGATCATTCAAAATCGAGCCCGAGAAGTTTGCACAAACCTGCGAAATCAGTTTTTGCAAATCTTGTTTTTTACGTTCTCTTTCACGGCGCTTTGCTTCAATTCGTCGCAATTCCTGCACCAAGCGCTGCTCCTCTTCTACCTGATCTCGCGTGCGACCGTACAGCAAGCTCAGTTGTTGTTTCCTACGTCGTTCGTGTGCAGCATCGTAGTGCAGACCATTTGACAAGTTGGTGCCGCGAACCTAGTCGGATGGAGAAAGGGATGTTGGGAATGCAACACTGCGAGGACGGCACAGGTTATCGGCACAATATAAATCAAAAATCAGGCACGGTGCCCCGAGGAGTCGCAATTGCACACACCACAGAGATAATTCCCAACAGTTAATGAGCATTATCATGAGTAGCAACAGCAGCAACAACAACAACAACAACATTTAGACAAAACAATATAAGCTTATGTACACCGCATGACAGACATTTATGTTGACAAAATACATGACTCGAAAAATTGTACATATTTTTGCCTAGTAATGATGCAAAGATGATGGACATGATCCTTGGTGTCAATGATGGATGTGCCGTCGAAGCGCTGTAACATCACTGTGTTTCTACTACGGAAATGCTGGGTGGGGTTTCGTATGGTTCTGGAGGTTGCTCTCCATTTTTCCTTGAACGTAGGAGTCCGATAGAATGTTTGAGAAACACGTTGCGCTGGCGAATATCGGATATTGAGATCATACCCCGAGTGAAGTAGTGAGACGGTGACTTTATTTCGGTGACGAGTTACATGCACCAAGTTGCAGTGCTGTTAAACATACATTTGTGACTTTTTATAGAGAAAATGTTTGCCAGGCGAAAACCCACCGCGTCCTGGAACCCTACCAGTTGTACAGAATTGATTGATACTTGCTGTAAAATACAGCATTCAGTATACATCATATACTAAATACTGAGGCAATGAGGCTGGACCTTACCGTGGTGCGATAGTTTGCGTGCTTCAGAGATCCATTGAACTATGCTGGGTAGTGCTTGTGCACTTTCAGAACCACTCATACCAGATGACTCAATTGTAAGGGGCCAGACGAACTCAGCCTCCTGGTAGTCTAGGTTGGTGGTTGGAATGAGGGTGGCTCCTTATTCCTTAAAACGGTCTCCTTGTAGCCCACCGCCAAACCCGCTCTCTTGCGGTCACGTGTTTAAAACAAAGGCTTTGGTTAAGATCCTTAAGCGTTCTCCAGTACAGGTTTGGACAGCCTGAGAGTATTCTGCCCAGCCAATACAAGGAATTTTTGTTCATACAGTTTCCTGATGCTCTGGCCGTCGCAGCGAATAATAAATGGAGCCCTATCTGCCACATCGAGCTGGATGGTTAGGGTTTGGATGCTCCTGTTAAAGCCTTCCAGTTTTCGTATTCACTCTCTTACGCTTTTTCACACTTATCGTTCAGTTCCAACTCTCTTTATCCTCCCAGTTTTCAACTCCCAATTCTCGACCCCCCCACCTTGCTTTGGTAGGTGCTTAGCTTCTAGTTTCCATTAACCTGCAAACGCGGAGCGTCACTGTTGTCCTGTCCACAAGCCCATGTCTAAACAAGCGGTCCACTCCAGTTCATCTGCTTCCATTTGGAGCTCTCAATACTCCTTGAGTTTAGTATGCCTCAGTGTTCGAACATTATCACAGAGTGGCCAACGGGTAGCAATTGCCCGAACATTCATCATCATCAACAGCAGTACATCAGCCATTTGAACTGATGCTTCGCTGCCATACAACCATGAGGACCTATGAAATAAAGAATAAGAAGAGGGAGAGAAGGGGGACTTACCTGAAAACCTTAATGCCCTAAGCAAACATTCAGGGTCAAGGCGCCTACACCTTGTGTAGACAACATACCGTCACAAACAGCTGGCTATCGTGCAAAGATAAGGCGGCATCGGCGAGACAGCTTTCTTGCGGCTTTCACTGCCACGCGTCATAATCAGCCATTACCCCGCAGATAACTCAGCACCAAACACACTTTAAACAGACAATCCAATTAGGAGACGGCAGCAGACGCGCCACTGGTGTCGGTTGCGAGCCATGTCCTGTAAAGTCTCGAGCCAAGCACAAGGTGAGTCACGTGGGCTCCAACCCGGAAGGCGAGACGGACCAACGGCACCCAGTTTGGTCGTCATTGACTTCATTTCCCGCTGCCAAGTCAACTTCTGTCCACCTCGAGCCTTGCGCCATCCGACACCTGGTAGACTGAACAAGGCCCTCCTAGGTAAGCGGTGACGAGGCATGCGTAGCACGTGCCCGAGCCAACGTAACTTATTCAGTGCTATCTGTTGTTCTAGGGAGTTAGCATGATCATCACCACCTAGTACTCGCCTACGCACATCATCGTTGCGGACACGCTGGTGCCATCCGACTTCAGCAATGCTTTGCAGACAACGATGATCAAAGACTTGAACGCGCGTCAGATCGTCAGACCGAAGCGGCCAAGTCTCTACCATACAGCAGAACGGCCATCACTGGGGCCTTGTATACACGGCCTTTCAGACGAAGGGAAACTCCCTTCCGCCGCCAAAGATGCCGCAGGTTCAAGAAGGTAGCTCTGGCTTTTGCAATACGTGAGCTGACGTCAGTTCCTATGGGCGCATCATTGCTGATGCAGCTGCCAAGATAAGGGAAATAATCAACCACCTCGAATTCCTCGTTAGCAAGCGTCAAGGAGTCATCAAGTTGCTGGTGGTCCTGCAGCAACACTTTGCACTTCGAAGGTGCGAAGTGCATATCAGGGTTGATTGTGTCGCCGCAACATCGTCGAAAAGCAAGACGATATCATCCGCATAATCTAGATCAACTAACCTTTCACCAGGCAGCACTTCAACGCCTAATTCGTGAGATTCCGCAAGGGAACACTCAATGATAGAATCCACAACGAAATTGAACAAAAATGGGGAAATCCGACAACCCTGACGAACGCCACTTGTGGTCAGCAAGCTATCCGATAGGACAACGTAGACGCTGACGCGGCTTGTAGTGTTCGAGTATAGAGCACGAAGGATGTTCACAAATTTCGTGGGAACACCTTTCCGCGCAAGTATTTCGAACAGAATCGATCGATCGACTGAATCGAACGCACTCTTGAAATCGAGGAACACAGCTATTGTCGGTCTGCGGTATGCGTGGCGCTGCACTAGCACCTGACGCAATGTGAATATATGGTCTATGCAGCCACGTCCTGGGTGGAAACCGGCCCGCGCTCCCCTAATCCGAGATTCCCGTTCCGCAGTGAGGCAACAAACAAGAATCGAGGCCAATAATTGTCACAACCGGTGTTAGGCTAATACCCCTGTGGTTAGAACAGTCTGTGCGACTGCTCTTCCTGTATATCGTCACTATAATCGATTCGCTCCAATTAGCCGGGACACTCTCTTCGTTCCAGATACGTTCGAATAGGGAGGTCAGTGCTTTGCAGAGGACCTCACCTCCATCCCTAAATAGTGCAGGTGGGAGGGAATCCGGGGCAGCGGCACGAAAACGATTAAGGGCTGTGATCGCGTTTCGAACCTCGGCCTCCGACGGAGGCTCTAAACTAACAGCCCATGTCTCGTCCTGCATCACTTGAGTAGGAAGAGGTCCGCCCAACGAGCCATACGGCGCTCCTTCATGTGTATCAGCGCACCCGCGCTGTCTCTGATTGTCTCACTGACGCCTGGTTTTCTGTAACCAGTGGTGCGGATTATCTGGAAGAGCTTGCGGTAATTGCCTACTGCTCCTGCCTCCATCATTTCTTTAGCTCTACTGGTCCACCGGGCTTCCTTGTCAGCACGTAGCCTCCGCTTTAGTTCACGCCTAATAGCCCGTCTGGTCAAATTGTGTCCAGAGCCAGTCGGGAGGTGTCTTCTAGATTCCAACAGGTTCACCGATCTCTCAGATATCCAGTGACTGGTGCGGTGACGATTGATAGTGCCACAAACAGATGCTCCTGCGTCGTGCATGACGGCCGAGACCCTATTCCACTGAAACTCAGTGTCATTAGGACAAGACAGCGGAAGTTTGGTATGCAGTGCTTCTTGATAAGCTTGTCTGACCGAGGACTGAGACAATTTCTCCGTTGCCAATCGTAGGGGACGCTTGGTGCGCCTCCCGGTAAAGTTCATGGAGAAACGACAGCGTGCCAATGCATGATCAGAGTCGATACAGGTACTCCAGTAAGAACGCCAATCCAGGATGAAACCACGCCATCTGTAACTTATGGCTATGTGGTCAATTTGGGTCCATCGCTGGCCAGCTACAGGGGACGCCAAGTGGCACTTAGGCGCCCACTGTCTAAAAGCAGTGCAACTATGAAACAACTGGTGCTCTGCACACAGTAACAAGATGCTCACCGCTGTCACTCAGTACGGAGTTAAGCCCACAATTGAAAATGAAATGAAAATGAAATGTGTCAGCTTATACGCCGTAACGGCGCTTCGCTGCCGCGCGACCACCACCAGTCGCGCGCGGGCTGAGTATACCGCGAGGACGCCCACCCCTACGCGGATTCGAACCGGTGACCTTATGGTTGGAAAGCAAACGTGCCAACCACTCGGCCACCGGCCGACAACCCAGCTGAGCTTCTGAAGAGCTCAGACGCCCTAGTTGTGAATTCATGTCCCCTGCAAGTACTATAATATCTGAACTAGTAGCACTGCGTAGCAGCGCGTGCAGTTTGTCGTAGAATGTGTCCTTGACAACATCTGAACTGCAGTCGGTGGGAACATAAGCGGAAATCACGAACAAACAGCGTTTTGTACTACCTCGTGAATCAACCTTAGCTGATGTCGTCAAACGGGCTGCACACAAACGGCTGTTCACCAGAATGCAATCAAGCAACGATGGCACAGCGTCAGAGCTTAGAATGATACCTACACCAGCTTGACCCGTGAGTGCCGCATCGGCGTCTCCGGATGAGTGCAACCAATAACGAGAGGATAATCCGGGTGCAGTCAATTCAATAACCCCGTTAGGGTCATTAATCCTAGTTTCGGACACACAACACACATCAATACCCAGTGTGTCCAAGGTGCGCGCGAGTGCAGCCTGCTGACCTGTTTGTCTTAGAGTGCGAACGGTGAATGTCGCCATGGAAACGGGATGGCGTGGTCTTATAAGGGACTTTTTCCAATAGGCGTCCGATAGGTGCGGTGGCTGCAGATAGTTCTACTCCAGTGGCACTTCGGTTGCTGGGAATTATAGAAGGAAAGTTAGTAATGGG